TCTACACCCCTCATCCATGGTTTACATTCGTCACTCATTGTCCACACCCTCACCCATAGTCTACACCCCTCACCCATATTCTACACCCCTCACCCATGGTCTACACCCTCACCCATGGTCTACACCGTCACCCATGGTCTACATGGTCACCCTTGATCTACACCCTCACCCATGGTCTACGCCCTCACCCATGGTCTGCACCCTCACCTATGGTCTACACTCTCACCCATAGTCTACACCCTCACCCATGGTCTACACCCCTCACCCATGGTCTACACTGCTTACCCATGGTCTACACCCTCACCCATGGTCTACACCCCTCACCCATGGTCTACACCCCTAACCCATGGTCTACACCCCTCACCCATGGTCTACACCCCTAACCCATGGTCTACACCGCTTACCCATGGTCTACACTGTCACCTATGGTCTACACCCTCACCCATGGTCTACACCCTCACCCATGGTCTACACCCTCACCCATGGTCTATACCCTCACCCATGGTCTACACCCTCACCCATGGTCTACACCCTCACCCATGGTCCACACCCGCACACATGGTCCACACCCCTCACCCATGTTCTACATCTTCACTCATGGTCTACTCCCTCACCCATAGTCTACACCCTCACCCATGGTCTACACCCTCACCCATGGTCTTCACCTTCACTCATGGTCTACTCCCTCACCCATGGTCTACACCCTCACCCATGGTCTACACCCTCACCCATGGTCTTCACCCTCACCCATGGTCCACACCCCTCACCCATGGTCTTCACCTTCACTCATGGTCCACACCCTTACTCATAATCTACACCCTCACCAATAATCTAGACCCTTCACCTATGGTCTACACCATCACCCATGGTCTACACCCCTCACCGATGGTGTACACCCTCACCCCATGGTCTACATGCTCACCCATGGTCTACACCCCTCACCCATGGTCTACACCCTCACCCATGGTCTACACCCCTCACCCATGGTCTACACCCTCACCCATGGTCTACACCCTCACCCATGGTCTGCACCCTCACCCAAGGTCTACACTCCTCACCCATGCTCTACACCCTCACCCATGGTCTGCACCCTCACCCATGGTCTATACCCTCACCCATGGTCTATACCCTCACCCATGGTCCACACCCCTCACCCATGGTCTTCACCTTCACTCATGGTCTACACCCCTCACCGATGGTCTACACTCTCACCCATAGTCTGCACACCTCACCCATAGTCTACACCCCTCACCCATGGTCTACACCCCTCACCCATGGTCTACTCCGTCACCCATGGTCTACACCCTCACCTATGGTCTACACCCCTCAACCATGGTCTACACTGTCACCCATGGTCTACACCCCTCACTCATGGTCTATGCCCTTTCCCTTGGTCTACACCCACACCCATGTTCTACACCCTCACACATAGTCTACACCCTCACCCATGGTCTACACCCTCACCCATGGTCTACACTCCACACTCATGGTCTACACCCTCACCCATGGTACACACCCTCACCCATGGTCTACACCCCTCACCCATGGTCTACACCCTCACCCATGGTCTACACTCCCACCCATGGTCTACACCCTCACACATGGTCTACACCCATGTAATTTAAACATGATTATTTAGTATATTAAAACAATAGATTTAAAACATGTAATTTAGACCATGGGTGAGGGTGTAGACCATGGGTAAGGGGTGTAGACCATGGGTGAGGGTGTAGACCATGGGTGAGGGGTGTAGACTGAGGGTGATGGTGTAGACCATGGGTGAGGGGTGTTGACTATGGGTGAGGGTGTAGACTATGGGTAAGGGTGTAGACTATGGGTGAGGGTGTAGATTATTATACATGGGAGGCATATGCAGACATAGATATGCTGGTAATAAGAAAGGATTAGAATGCAGTTACCAACATCCCAAAAAATGTTTAAATATGCTTAGGAAAGGTGAGTGTCAATTTGGATCAATATGTAAGTTTTTCCATCCTGACATGTGCCAAACCTCACTGGAGGACAGAAAATGCTATGACCTCAGCTGCCCACACTTTCACGTGAAAGGCACGGAACGCTACATAAAGAGTGGCAAGCAGGATAATGAATTTGGAGGAAACTCTATAAATTTTTTATACCAGACCGGCAGAGAATTCAAAAGGAGCAGCATGGAGAGTGTATGGAACTGGATGCCAGATCCACTTGCATTCCAGAATTACAGATACAATTACCCACCGAAAGGGAACTACAACTACGACAGACAACTGCCCTACAACAATCAGTACTGGTCAGAACAAACTCATTATGTCCATGAATAATGGGCTTGCCGAAAAAGTCTTCCATTCAAACTATCACTAATAGAGTAACCTCATTCATCTTTGCCAACATACAAGGACTGAAAACAAGAACAAACAACAAAGTACAGTTCATAAATGGCCTCCTCACGGAGTCAAATGCAGTATTTAGAGCTTTCACAGAAACCCATGCAGGGGAACTGTTGGACAGTGAGATCTGGATTCCAGGATATAATCTATACAGGTGTGATAGGAAAATTAGGTCACATGGAGGAGTGGGTCTGTATATTAGGGAAGACCTTGTATGCTCGGAGCTCCTAAACGTTACAAATGAGGTGGTAGAGGTACTGGGATTAAAAATAGAGAAAATAAATTTAGTGATTATTCTAATATACAAACCGCCAGATGCAACGGCTGAGGAATTCACAGAACAGATAAGCAAAATAGAGAATAGCCTTGATAATTTGGAGAACCCGATACCTGATATTATCTTCCTAGGTGACTTCAACTTGCTTAGTCTCAGGTGGAAAATAGCAAACAATAATATTTTACCATGAAATCTATCAGGACCTAACCAACCACAGATTAGAGAACTACTTAGATTCTGTGACAAATTTTAACTCAATCAGCAGATATCGGAGCCAACGAGAAATGAAAATATTCTAGATCTGGTCTTTACGAACAATGAAGACATTATCAGAGACATTACGATATCAGATACCACATACTCGGATCACAAACTCATTGAAGGGGGTCTAATCACGGAAAATAAAAAATGTTCCGATTTTTTTGAAAATTTAATCATGGAATGGTTATAGAAGGAGCTGCAACTGGTCCAAGTTTCAGCATCACACCCTAAATAGAAATGGAGAAAAAATATACAGAACGTATTATGCAACGAATTTTTAACATTTTCAAAAAATTTCAGGGAACACATGTGTCAACTAAAATCATTTCTATAACACTCAGATGAGGGGTGTAGACCATGGGTGAGGGGTGTAGACCATGGTCTACACCCCTCACCCATGGTCTACACCCCTCACCCATAGTCTACACCCTCACCCATGGTTTATACCCTCACTCATGGTCTACACCCTCACCCATGGTCTACACCCTCACCCATGGTCTACACCCCTCACCCATAGTCTACACCCTCACCCATGGTTTATACCCTCACTCATGGTCTACACCCTCACCCATGGTCTACACCCTCACCCATGGTCTACACCCTCACCCATAGTCTACACCCCTCACCCATGGTCTACACCCTCACCCATGGTCTTCACCCCTCACCCATGGTTGACATCCTCACCCATGGTCTACACCCTCACCCATAATCTACACCCTCACTTATGGTCTACACCCTCACCCATGGTCTACAGCCTCACCCATGGTCTACACCCCTCACCCATAGTCTACACCCTCACACATGGTCTACACCCTCACCCATGGTCGACATCCTCACCCATGGTCTACACCCTCACTCATGGTCTACACCCTCACCCATGGTCTACACCCTCACCCATGGTCTACACCCTCACCCATGGTCTACACCCTCACCCATGGTCTAAACCCTTACCCATGGTCTACACCCTCACCCATGATCTACACCCTCACCCATGGTCTACACCCTCACCCATGGTCTACACCCTCACCCATGGTCGACATCCTCACCCATGGTCGACATCCTCACCGATGGTCTACACCATCACCTATAATCTACACCCTCACCCATAGTCTACACCTTCACCCATAGTCTACACCCTCATAATCTACACCCCTAACCCATGGTCTACACTTCTCACCCATGGTCTACACCCTTACCCATGGTCTACACCCCCACCTATTCTCTACACCCTCACCCGTGGTGTACACCCTCACCAATGGTCTACACCCTCACCCATGGTCTTCACCCTCACCCATAATCTACACCCTCACTCATGGTCTACACCCTCACTCATGGTCTACACCTCTCACCCATGGTCTACACCCTCACCTATAATCTACACCCTAACCCATGGTCTACACCTCTCACCCATGGTCTACACCCTCACCCATGGTCTACACCCTCACCCATGGTCTACACCCTTACCCATAGGTTACACCCTCACCCATAGGTTACACCCTCACCCATAGGTTACACCCTCACCCATAGTCAGGCAATCAGTAACATGACTCAGGCACAACTCAGTAACCAACTGATTAGGAGTTTAATTGAAACTTGACTTGCTTGCTCCATATTTAGATTACAGAAAGGGTGAAGAATGTTGAAAGGTAAACTGAGCACTGGAAGAGATAGAAATTCTTTCTGATAAAATGTTCATTGGTCATCATTTGTTAGTTGTATATAAAGTATTTCATTCATCAACAAAATAGCTACTGTTCTGAATTAAATGGTAATTTTTGTTTTGAGGTGGGGTTGGAAATTGATCCATTCCCAACCATTACTTTTCTGCAACCAAATTATAATGTAATATAGGATGTTTTTAACCAGTTACAAAATGCCTCCCAATGATTAGCCATTTGCACTCAGGTTCACCTCTTCTTATAACAGGTCAAACTTCCCTCAAGCATAGCTCAATGCATCAAAATATCAAACCAGTTCTAACAAATATGGTAAATTTATTCAAAGTTTGTCACAGAAGGGTGAAGAATCAGATTTCTGGTTTCTTCGTATATGTGCTATTTGAATTATCACTTTTTCAGACTACACCTACTCGTCTGAAGAATGGGAAGCATCTTCCTCTGACCTGTTGTCCTTCATGGCAGCTGTACAGGACCACAGTCTACCATCATTGGGCATAACTACATCTCTTGAGGAGGTTGTCATATTAATATATTTGTACAAAAATAGCTATTTTAACTAAATTAGTTTTCTTGTACTGTAATGTGGTCCTTTTTATGTAATATCAAAGTAGCTGCCCAGTAGCTTACATTCATTGGTGCATCAAGCTTTTCTGGGAGAGAATTCTATCATTGGCCCCCTGAGTTAACCACCTGGATACCTCTGAGCCTTAAGCACTATACGAAACTCTTGAGAATCATCAACGCCTATCAAAATCCCATTTCAGACTCTAGCCCCTCAATAACGAATACGTAGATCAATGCATATCATAAGGAAAACCTCCAGAAATATAAATTGCACCAAGCAACTGGTGAAAAACATTAGTGACCTTAACACAAACTATGTACACACTTATTGTCCAGAAACAACAGCTAGTTAACAATACTTATGCACCATCATATGGCAGCCCTGGCAACTCTGGATCCCAGCAGGCTGCCCTAGTCAGTCACCTACTTGGTGCAACTTGTTCCAGGTGCCTCACTGCTTTTCATGCTTCATAAGTCATCACAGTCGTAGCTTTCCTGTCAGTTTTTATCCTTTGCCTATGTAGGGGGCCTGTGCTTGTTGTTTCTTAGCATCATGTGCATTTTTCTGGGCGGGCTCCACAGTGGCTCTCTGTTACTAATTGCTCTAACTCCACACGTTCAAGTTGTATCAGGGCCTTGAGAGTCATTAACCCCTGGGTTGTGCCCCCCTCCCCCCCCACGGTTTACGATACAAGCCGCCAAACACACACCGAAACTACGACGTTGATACAATGTTCGAACAAGTTTTAACACCACCTAACCGGTTATAACAACCAATATAGCAAGTTTTAACAATGTTCTAATACGTCATAAACACGTTAAGCCAAGAGGTAACAACTTTATTACAAGTTGTAACAAGCGGAAAATAGAGACTGTTTTGGTTTGTGTTTCCAGGAAATACTCTGGTGTGCATGATAAAGTAAAAAAAAATATTTTTCCCTTCTAATACATTCGAACCAGTGAAAGAATTTAATCTGTTCCAAGACATGCATCGTAACACAAATATTTGTACACTATAACATTTCCTGAGACCTGGAACTTTAAGAACAAGAGGTCATAGATATAAACTAGCTAAACACAGATGCCGAAGAAATATAAGAAAATTCACTTTCGCAAACAGTGGTAGATGGTTGGAACAAGTTAGGTGAGAAGGTGGTGGAGGCCAAGACTGTCGGTAGTTTCAAAGCGTTATATGACAAAGAGTGCTGGGAAGACGGGACACCACGAGCGTAGCTCTCATCCTGTAACTACACTTAGGTAATTGCTAAATCAAATTTTCCATAAGAAATAATGTAAATTAAATTCATCTCTTCCACACACCCAAAAATTTTAACTTAAAAATATATTTTCTATAGAATACTACTCATTTCTGTGGGGAGTCCTCTGAAGCTATCCCACTAATACAGTGCTAAATTAGTTGGGCTCTTAAGTCGCAGAGTTCTTATTGCCTACTATGGACCAGAGCTAGAACCTGGCCCCTCCAGAGAGGCGCAGAGAGCAATGGCCTATGAGCACTTTGCATTTCACCCTTACACTGCTCAGGGGCCCTAGGGACATTTACACCCCTGTGCGCAAGAAAAAAAAAATTCAAACTTTTTTTTTCGTCTTCTAAACATGTTAATTTGTGTCCCCTGAGCACGGGAAATCGTAGGCGACATATTTTGGGCGCAATTGACCGAGGAAGTCTGGCAAAAAGTGGGCGTTGACAGAGCGGTCGTCAGACCCGTTCAGCGTCACCCGCGCTGACAGGTGGGAGTTGCCACAAAGATATTATTACCTAATTGTTTCAATGTCTCTGATTGATTTTTTCTTAGTTTTTTTGCAGTAATATTATTCAATAGTGTGTATTGTAATATATTTATATAATAAAAGTGGTGAATAATCGCTATACTCAAAAGTATGATGTGCATATTAGTGATTCAATTATTATGTTTTAAAACAATAAACAAATAGTTTTGCTGCTATTACACTCTATACACAGTTTATATATAAGTATCTGCATGTTTTGGTCACCATAACAAACCACTAAGTTGGTATTGAGAGTCGAAAAGCAACGAGGAGTTACTGCCACACACCAGCCAGCCACTCGCTGCCACTCCCTCAACACACGCACTAAACTTTCTTCCCCAACAACACCATTTGTGGTGTTATTACACTATATACAGACATTATATATAAGTATGTATATACTTTGTTCACCACAACTGTACAGCTAAGCTGATATAGTTAGTTCAGGCACTAAGAGTCGTCGCTATACACAGATGGCGGCTCCCTCACTCATTCAAGGTCACACACACTAAACTTTCTCCCCCAACAATACTGTTTGCAGTGTTATTACCTTATATACACATATTATATATAAGTATCTACATGTTTTATGCACCGTAACTGTACACCTAAGTTTGTAGTGCGCCCAAAGAGCATAGTGGCCACCCTCTAAACAGCTAGACAAATCGTGCAGACGACGTCACCTCCGTCACCCATATGGCTCCTCCCAGCATAATCCTTTTGCTGCTATTACACTAATACACACATTATATATAAGTATCTACATTTGTGTTCACCATAGAGAACCACTTAGCTGGTATGGTGAATGCAAACAATAACAGGTAGCCACACAGTCAGTAAACGATGCTGTCTCCCTCCGTCTCTCAGCATCACTTCTCCCACAGCGCTAATTATTACAACAATCCTCCTATTATCACAACCCTGGTTATTTATATCACAGTCATGGGTCATCTGTAATATTGTCATCGCTAAATAATAACAATTACAGTATATATTTATTTTGACATTTTTCGGTGATGCTGTGGTCACAAGCTGAACAGCAATGCTGTTCGCTCATGCTGCGTGCGCCAGCCTTGGTTGCTACAACAGTACTGTGCCTCTCACACCTGAGAATATTGCCCACGATTTAAAAAAAAAATGGCGTCTATTTACAAGAGCCCTGAGGAAGCTACTGTGAACCCTGTGTAGCCGCGGGCCATTTGAATCGGGCCTGGCACCCTATGGCGTTTATATACCCCATGCGCACCGTGGGACATGTTACTCAGGGCGTATATATGCGCCATGCACAGTTTAAAGGTTAACCACCGTGCTACTCGGCCTTAAAATATGACATTCCCACTGTGTGCCGAAAATAAATTTTCGGCAAAAAATTATTTTATAGTCTTATGTTAAAATACAGTCATTGACCACAAGAAACTAAAAAAAATATTGTATGTGACATACTTCAGCCGTGATGGAGCTGAGAAGTGTAACAAATTATGGGCACTGAGTGATGGAGCGCTCAGGGATATACTGTAACCCCGCGATTATCCGGGATTCAAACATCCGGAAAACGCCCTTATACGGCTAAAATCGTGAACGGATAAAGTTATCTCAATATCTGGCCAAAATGGCCATGGGACCCGGATAAAAGCCGGTTTGGCCGGTTAAAAATCTGGGCTGGTGGGCCGTACCGTATTAATCCCGTACAGCTGTGGCTCAAGGCCATGGTCACTTGCCACCTTGGAGTTACTGGGTATTTTTTTTTGTAGGGTGAACCCCTTTGGTGAACTATCCAGGCTGATATGATATACTGTAGACCCCGCGATTATCCGGGAAAACGCCCTTATACGGCTAAAATCGTGAACGGATAAAATGTATCTCAATATCTGGCCAAAATGGCCATGGGACCCGGATAAAAGCCGGTTTGGCCGGTTAAAAATCTGGGCTGGTGGGCCGTACCGTATTAATCCCGTACAGCTGTGGCTCAAGGCCATGGTGTTGGAGGGGGTAGGGTGGGTGGGTGGTGTCGGGAGAGAGGGGAGCATTGGGAGGGACCACCTGGGGGATTACGGTCAGGAAGAGAGAGAGGGAGTTGGTCAGGAAGGGAGGGAGGGAGTTGGTCAGGAAGGGAGGAAGGGAGTTGGTCAGGGAGGGAGGAAGGGAGTTGGTCAGGAAGGGAGGGAGGGAGTTGGTCAGGAAGGGAGGGAGGGAGTTGGTCAGGAAGGGAGTTGGTCCGGAAGGGAGTTGGTCAGGAAGGGAGTTGGTCAGGAAAAGAGAGAGGGAGTTGGTCAGGAAGGGAGGGAGGGAGTTGGTCAGGAAGGGAGGAAGGGAGTTGGTCAGGAAGGGAGGGAGGGAGTTGGTCAGGAAGGGAGGGAGGGAGTTGGTCAGGAAGGGAGTTGGTCAGGAAGGGAGGAAGGGAGTTGGTCAGGAAGGGAGTTGGTCAGGAAGGGAGGGAGGGAGTTGGTCAGGAAGGGAGGAACTGAGTTGGTCAGGAAGGGAGTTGGTCAGGAAGGGAGGGAGGGAGTTGGTCAGGAAGGGAGTTGGTCAGGAAGGGAGTAGGTCAGGAAGGGAGGAAGGGAGTTGGTCAGGAAGGGAGGAAGGGAGTTGGTCAGGAAGGGAGGGAGGGAGTTGGTCAGGAAGCGAGGAAGGGAGTTGGTAGGAAGGGAGTTGGTCACGGAAGGGAGGGAGGGAGTTGGTCAGGAATGGAGGGAGGGAGTTGGTCAGGAAGGGAGGAAGGGAGTTGGTCAGGGAGGGAGGAAGGGAGTTGGTCAGGAAGGGAGGGAGGGAGTTGGTCAGGAAGGGAGGGAGGGAGTTGGTCAGGAAGGGAGGAAGGGAGTTGGTCAGGAAGGGAGGAAGGGAGTTGGTCAGGAAGGGAGGGAGGGAGTTGGTCAGGAAGGGAGGGAGGGAGTTGGTCAGGAAGGGAGGAAGGGAGTTGGTCAGGAAGGGAGGAAGGGAGTTGGTCAGGAAGGGAGTTGGTCAGGAAGGGAGTTGGTCAGGGAGGGAGGGAGGGAGTTGGTCAGGAAGGGAGGAAGGGAGTTGGTCAGGAAGGAAGTTGGTCAGGAAGGAAGGGAGGGAGTTGGTCAGGAAGGGAGGAAGGGAGTTGGTCAGGAAGGGAGGAAGGGAGTTGGTCAGGAAGGGAGGAAGGGAGTTGGTCAGGAAGGGAGGAAGGGAGTTGGTCAGG